CAGAGAGGGGTGGTCAAAAGAGCAGGACGAGGTTAAATGACGAATGACGGCCGGATGTGGGTTTTGCGGTCCGCCAGGCGCCGATGGCGGCCTGGCCCGGCCCGACCCGGCCCCAGCCCGCGGGGGCCAGGAGCGCCAGGAGTCGCAGAACTGCTGATTTCCTCCATTGTCGGCCGGATGGGCGTTAGGCAATGAGCCGGTGGCGTAGGCGAGGGGGCGCGAGAGCGACAGGACAGGGCGGCGACAGATCGGAAGATAGACAGAGAGAGACAGAGGTAAACGGGGGAACGCGGGCTTCTGATTGGTTGTGACGTGATCGACTGAAGGACTGACGAGGAATATCCTCATAATTATTGTACTTTACAGAGCGATTTGTTTAAAAAAAAAAACAACAACACATGATACTTTGTGTGTATCTACAGAGTAATTTTCACTACCATCATTGCTCTGGTTCCGTTTAGTGTGAGCTCGCGTTCAGCGCTTTTTCGTGTCTTGCAGAGAGGCGCGAATAAATATTTGCGAGCGGGAAACGAAACTTTATGCCGCGAAAAGGAGAGGGGTGAATATCTGAGGAAAAAGAGCAGCGGTAAGGGTCAACACTTTAGAGTCATAATCTGGCGGCTGGAAAAAATGCCCCCCTAGTTTTGAGAGGTATGCGGCCAATTCGACGATGGAAATCACTAAAGTTAAAATCACCAAATAGTGAAGCGGAACGGCAACCCCACGAAGGCAAGGCACCCGCACTAGTTCCTTAAATTTTTAATTTTTGCGACAAATGGCAATATAATGGCAATCATGATCAATATAATGGTTTTCTCCATGCGATTGCAAAATACACCAATGCGTTGTGCTGAGTGCCAAGCACCCCTACGAAATCGGCAAAACAGCGCAACCCTCCCCTCTCCCACACTTTTCAGAACCCTCCTATACGCCAATACGCCCCTTGTACCGCCCACTCATTGGGCTCCCTCACAAACAAAAACGTTGATCGGAGGTATATGAGCCTGGTCAGGGCTTCAGGGTACACACGGACCAGGCCAGCCAGCAGGGGCCGGCCGCGTCTTGACCCACTTGACCCTAGCCGGGGGACCCTGCCGGGGCACCCGCCGGGGGAGGGGCGCGCCTTAATGAGGACCCTTGCGTGCGGTCACAGTCAGTCCGGCCGCCCCCATCTAGATCGCCCCCGCGGAGAGAGCGGAGCGGCGCGACCCCCGCCCTGCCTAAAACACACCCCTTCGCGCGGTCCATAAATAGCACAACTCTATGGGCAGAAGGTTGAATCTTTTGATTCAAGCCACTATTAAAGCGTCTGATTCAACTATTTAAAAATGTATGTTTCATTCCTGTGGTGTAATTTTTTTACTTTTTTTAGTCAAACAAAATAATGGAGATTCAACTTCCAGTTAGGGGTAGTGATTTTGATACCTTTTACAATGATGCCCACATAACAGTTTTAACGTAATAGATTATGTCGACTCACCGTTTGTTTACTGTGATCACGACGTTTTATCCTGATTCTGCTGTAGCGGCGATGTCTTCCCCAGTCACACACGCACACACGACAGGCGCACTCGGCTCACGCTATAGAGGAAGAGGAGCAACGACACAGCATCCTCGCGATCCATATCCCGCCTTCCGCATCTCTGACTAAAGACACACACACACGCACACACGCGCGCGGGGGAGAGGGGAGGGGGGGAAGTCCCGGATGACGTGCGTCGGTCCGCCGTGGGCTCGCGAGCCGGTGATCGCGGTGCACGCGGTGCGATGCGGTACGGCCCGTCTCACTGGAGGCCCGGGTCGGCTGGAGGTAGCGGTGCGAGTGCGGAGCGCGGTGCGCGGCTCGGCGAGAGGACCGCGCCGGGGTCGGAGCCAGCTTTGGCCGGCCCGCCTCGCCGCCGCAACCCCCACCGCGCGCATGCGCAAGAGCGCAAGCCGCAAGCGCCTCTCCCGCGCGCTTATTTCAAAGCAGGGGCAACGTGATAATTAAACTTGTACCTCTGTTGTTGTTTTTAAAAGTATTTTTTTATTGTTATCTATTATCATTTTACAAGCAGAGTTTGGTTAGCAGACATGAACGTGGCATCAGGTACTTTTCAATGGAATGCATCATATGGAAAATCAAACTTGGAACATATGAGACTCCAGAACCAGAATTATTTGATCAACAGGCTCAGCACTTGAACTTCAGTTTTAGAGTAGTCATGCCATTAAAAGGTGAAAGATACAGATGGTGAAAGATAGTAACCAAATTAGAATTTGACATTGCTTAATTAGCAGTCCACTTAGACAAAAATTCAGGCTTTATATATAATTATTGCTGGAAATGAGTGGCATTGCAACACTTTTGATCGATGTAAGTAGTTTTTCTGCTTATTATGACTAATGAAAAGTATGGAAAGGTAAAACTCAGTACAGAGAGAGGACTAGACAGACTTATACCTTAAGTCATTTCATGCATAGATACAGTTTCACTAACATCATTATCTTACTTTACTAATAATAACTCTCATAAACATCAACATTGAAATACTATCAAACTTAAGTGGGTCCAAGTACAGCCCTATTAACATAGAACAACGCACTCCAAATAGATCATGGAGAATATGCAAACAAACCCATCATACAAGGGGTGCTTGGATAGATGGGTAAAGAGCCTATACACATAATGTAACATACACAAGTAAGATACAGGGCTTGAAGTGGACTTATAGGCATGTTGCGAGCGTCGTTGGGGCGAGAGGAGTGGTGCAGGGAGCGTTGTTTTCCCTGTCCCACCACCCTCATCCCAACTATGCCCGCTGCGTTCCTATCGTAAATCCGACTTTACTCATAAAGAAAAACAAACTGTCACTTTTGTGATGGAATTAAAAGTTGTTCACAGAATAAAAAAACACCCTACATCACAAGTTAACTATAATTAAACAATGCAGTTATATCTAAAAATATGGTTATGAAGATAAAGCGGTACTCTGGAAAATACTACATGATTCTTTTATGGGCTTCAACAATAGATGAATAATTATATCACAAAACCCATCACCTTCAGCTGACCTCACTAAAATTAATAGTAAACCTCTTGTAAGGAATCAGGTAGCAATCTCTGGTCTATGTGCCAACTCCTTCCACATCCACAAGCAGAGCAGAAAAAAACAATTTAATGCTGAATTTAAAAATTAGGAATAGAAGTCTTAACAGAAATCAACCAAACTAATGGCTTTTGGTAATGCAAGCTTTTAGATTTACTTTTCTGCTCCGTAACTGAATTGCTAAGGAGAGCACAACAGATAAAGAAATATTCTCACACTTATTACTAAAAACATTTTTAAGTGTAGGGAGATCAAAGCTAACAGCAACAAAAACACATCAATTCGTATGTAAATTAAGTAAAATTAGAGCCAACAATACATAAAAGCTAATTTTACATCCCCCGACAGAAAAATCTATACGGTAGTAGTGTATTTTTGTCAAAGACACATATTGACACTTACTAATTTCTTATCAGAACCAATCACACTGAAATCAGACAATACTTATTGCAAGAAAGATGTCGAAAAACCCACTCTATCGTCTGTCATTCTTAACTTTATTCAGTCCTTAACAATGACAAACTCTGATGTTGAATAGCTTGTTTAATGTAGCAAAGCATACAAAAAATATCGGTTAAAGTTTAAAAATTTGTTTGTAAATAAACCATTTCTCGCACTCTTATAAATTACAGATGTAAAAATCGTGTGAAGGAGAAATATTTTAATTACTTAAATTTTGTTCTGGAGGCAAAAAGGCAAAAGAAGTTGGATTTTATACCTACATTGACTATTGATAGCATTTTTTTTTTGTACTGACAGATATTATGTGCGTTCAGTAGCTTAGCTTAAAAATTTAGAATTCATGCTGTGTGCTATTTGGATGATTCTCCAAGCCACAAGAACACAAAATGGACAAAGTTTTGTGATTCTAGAGACACAGTCAAACACAAGTCAAATTAGCAATGGCCTCCTGGAGGCAATGCCATTAAAAATTTACTCAGGAAAGGCATTTGGTTTTTTAAAATAGATAGATTTTAGGGAAAACACAAAAAGGTATGATGGCAGTACTGTTTCCTTACAAATATTAATGGACAGAAACATAGGTTTGCCAGGACAGAACTGTTGGGAAGCTCAAAAGTCACAGGAAGCAAAACATTCAGGATCTTGATTTTTTCATGAGGTACGCACTCTTTAATACACATCCCATTAAACTCATTAAACTGAGTATAGAAAACCTTCATGTTTCATTCGGGGCAGAGGGGTGGTGAATGGGGAGAACCAGGAAACAGAAAAGCGTCCAAAAACAGCTTGAATGCTCTTCCAGCGGGATTTCTTCACCCAACGGGCCTCTTCCTTTTTCAATTGTTCGATACCCTAGGAGCGGAGAAATAGCAATTGATGAATAAAAATGTCAAACAGAAAATATGGTTCAAAAGATCTTAAGTTCCACAAATTTCATAAAAATAGTTTACCGTTTCATCATTCCATATAGCTTGCATCTGAGCAGCCAACATGATAACAGTGAAGATTGCGAACAGAAGTGCTTCAAACACAAGAAAGAGAAGAAGCACCACAGTGGCAGGAGGGGAATATACGGAGCAATCCTTCCACTCATGTTTCACACAGGTAATGGTTTGATTAACCGACAAGAAGAGAGCATGGATTGAAATAGATGCAATGTAAAACTGAAAACAGAAGAAAATAATTGTAAGTATCTCAACTTGAATCAGTCACAAGAATGAACCAAAATTGATAATAAAAGCCAGGAGAACTCACGGTAAATAATACAAAATACTTTTGATTGTTTTCACCAACACAATTGTTAACCCAAGGACAGTGATGATCCATTTTACGGATACATCTGAAACACGAAAAAAATAAATAACTATTTGCATTAAGAACTTCTAGAAAATTAAAAATAATTACTGGTGACCTTACCTCTGGCAGACAGAGCAGTGATGGGCTCGCTCAGGCTTAATACTGCAGCACTTATGGCATTTGAAAAACATTTGACCTTCTCTGAACCCCATTTGTTGAATCATTTCCTTTGTAGCATTTCCTTTGGGAACAGCACCCTAGTCAGGGGAATTTGACGGAGGAGTTAGACAGGTAGCTGATAAATACAAACTATGAAGTTAACTGCAATATTTGCAACAGAATCTTACTGGGTCAGTGAACATGGTGCGCAGGTGTGAAGCAAAGGCAAGAAAAGCCAAACTTTGAAAGATTACTCCATTAATTAAGCTATATACTGGATACGGACTAGGAATCAACATGACCACCATGACTACAAATTCTGCGTACAGTATGAGTATCCATGTCAAGGCGGCACACATTATCCCACATATATCCTGAAACAAGCACAGGATCAATGTCAGGCATTTTAATTGAGGAATTTAAGATTGCAATGAGTATAATAACAGCAATTGACAAAAATGACGAACATCACTCCTTGCAGTAATGAAACATACCTTGATACACCAGACGAGTCCACCACAACATCTGTTGTGCATATCTGCCTCCTTGCGGAGAACTGTGTACTCAAACTCCATTCTAATACCTAATCTGGAGTGCACGTCAAATTTTCACTGCCAACATAGCAGCACAGTTACCTGAAATTAATATACTTCGGTAACAACAAACGGATAAAAGTTACACAAGCAGGAGAAATAAGCATAAGCTGAGTTAATGTAATCAATAATTAGGCTTATTTCAATTAACTTCAGATCAAATGGCCTAATTTATTTTTAAAACTTTGAAAAATGTGATAAGGTTAATGTACTGGAGGCTACAATTCAGTCCCGGATTCAATTATAATCGAGAAAATTTCATTTGATTAGTAAGATTTTATAGGGAAAACAGGATTTTATGTGTGTGTATCGTTTCAAAAAAATTGAGAAGCAGACTTGAAGAGCAAACTCATTCTTGTCAAAACATGGACACTTTAGGACCGGGCGGTACCACTGCACAGTTGTAACTTATAAGAGCGAAACACAACATATCAAAAGTATGGAAATTCAATACATCATTTTCCCAAGAAAACAATAAAAAGTAGAAACCAACCCATTGGTGAGGGGTAAGATTTTCTTCTGCTGTGCAATAAAAAACATACATAAACTGTTCACAACACACACTTCTTACTTTTCTTGTTCTTTTTCTGTTGTTTTTTTCCCCCTCCCCCTCAGCGTTTGTGTTTTGTCTGTTCCTGTACCCACTGGACTCCAACACTTCAGAGTCAAGATCAAGGTGGTGGTGAAGCCGGTTCGGCGGGAATCGCTCGCGAGTGAATTTGTGAAATTTGAGAAACATGCAAAGTTTTCTGAAAACGGGCAAGTTGGGGTCGGGGAGCGGAGCCGGCCCTTCAGGAGACAAACAATCCGGAAAAGGGCAGAAGCGAGGGAACAGACCAACTCCCTGGGTAGAGAAATAGTAAGTGAACTGCACTGCGGCTTTGTTGCCGTAGGCTCCCTGGTTTCAGTGTTACATGACTTGTTGGTTCTGTTTTATTGAACTTTTGCTCATAGTTTCCCTCCTCGCTTTATTCTTTGTCCACTCCAGCCGGCCCAAAACTGTTGACGATGTCGTGGAGCAGGGCGACGTTGTCGAAGTCTTGCGTCAGTGTCTCTCAGGTGCCGATTTGCCTAACCTACTGCTCTATGGCCCCCCGGGTACTGGTAAAACGAGTACTATTCTGGCAGCAGCAAGGCAGCTGTTTGGGGATATGTATAGAGACAGGTGTGGATCGATTATTCTCTTATCTCCAATTCCTACCTGTATACCTTTAAACCTTTAACAAAATTGAGGTACAGTATGTACTCTATGTTTACAGAATCCTTGAGCTCAATGCCTCAGACGAAAGAGGAATCCAGATCATTCGTGACAAGGTGAAGTCGTTCGCCCAGTTGTCAGCTAGTGGTATCAGGCCTGAGTGAGTATACTGTTAAACGTTTATCGTCAATCTCCATATTACTATCAAGAATGCAGCCTATGATGATTCTTGCCAGTGACGATGGACAGAGGTTGCTTATCTCTTGCCCTGGCTCAGATACTCCTTGCTCTATTACCTATATAGGGGAGGGATTTACTGCCAGACAGTATTAATGCACTGTCTACCAAGGGGCTTGGTTGGAGTTGTCACCATTCTTTTATTAGCAGGGCTTCATTTCTCTCATATCCTTTTCATCTTTATCACCATAATTGTTTCATGTTACCCTAATATCCACAATGGCAGTGTTTGCAATGTCTCCCAATCGCATGATCTAGTACAAACTGAAACTGAGTTTTCTGAGGCTGTAGCATGCTTGCAAGTTTTGTAGAGTGCTTGTGATGATTAGTAAAAGGTTTGACTCTGGATGTGTCGCCATGATTGCTGCTGTCTAGCCACAACTGCTCTTTAATTTCCTGCATTGAGTCTTCTTCTTATGAAGTCAATGTCTCTGAGGGGCAGACAGTGTTGCTGGTGAAGATGAGAGTCACTTCAGTGTGTCTGACCCTCTAATCCAAAGGCATACAAAACCACAGGTTGGATTTTGCCTTCTTTATCATTAGTGCTCAAGTGGCCTTTACCCTTGATCACTTTTGGAGAGAGTGATGATCCTTCCTGTCTTTAAACTGTGTCTAGCTGTAGCAATTATGGAAGGGCTGCCAGTTGACTGACAACAAAACTCCTCTGAAGCACCAAATATGCAAGTTTTTATTGACGTGACAGAGTTAAAACAAGTTTATCACCAATTTTGTTTCAAGTACCAAGCATTATTTTTACAAATTGTATTACAGTGGGAAGCCATGCCCAGCTTTCAAAATTGTCATCCTTGATGAGGCAGACTCCATGACTCATGCTGCTCAAGCTGCCTTACGAAGAACTATGGAAAAACAGACACGTACTACCAGGTTTTGTCTTGTTTGCAATTATGTAAGCCGTATTATTCAGCCTCTCACATCAAGATGCACTAAATTCCGCTTTAAACCTTTAGGTAAGATCAAGGTTCATTATGGTCTAATGTAAGAAATTGGAAAACTACTACCCTGTAAGAAGCTCCTCTTAAGCTAATACATTTCCTGTGTTAATTACTAGGTGAAGTGAAAATTATTGAAAGATTGCAGTTCATATCTTCTCAGGAAAATGTGAACATAGAGCAAGATGCTTTGCAATCTTTGATTGCCGCTGCTGGAGGAGATCTTCGGAGAGCTATCACTTGCCTTCAGTCTTGTGCTCGTCTAAAGGGCAAAGATGATACATCAGCTATTACCCCAGATGATGTTGTTGAAGTTATGGGTGTCATTCCAAGCAGATGGATTGATGGACTAATGAGTGTTTCTGAAGAATTTGATTATTATAAGGTTACTGAATACCTAGATCAGTTCATAATGGAAGGTTATTCTGCTGGACAGGTTTGTGGTTACCTACGTATATTTATTGATGCTGGTACTGATGCTTTAATATCTGTAAAAACTTACATTTCAATTACCTTTTTTTTAAAAAAAATCATTGCAGCTTTTGGAACAACTTCATTTAAAAATTGTGATGTGTGACACAATAAGTGACAAACATAAAGCAACTATTTGTGAGAAATTAGCAGTAAGTAAAGTTGGATTTTCTTGTTTTGTTTTTTTTACTTTTGTAGAGATACTCAGTTCTAATGTTGCATATTCTCAAATTTTAGGTTTGTGCTTATAGACTACAAGAAGGTGCCAGTGAATACCTTCAAATGGCAGATTTATGTTGTACACTCATGCTGTGCCTGCGACAATAGATCACACTACTGACTTATTTGTAATTTTTCTTTTTTAATTTGTGAGGGACTTGTTTCTCTTTTCTCAATTCATTTCTGTTCTCATCCTGTATATGGTAAGTATTAAGTATATGTCCTGTGATATCAATGGTCCTTTAAAATTGATGTATTGAACTGAACTGCTCATTATGATAATAAAATAACAATACTTTATTTGGACCCTCATTACATCACCAATTGTTTGACATAACACCAATTTACAGTTGGTAAGCTTCTGCTTCTGTACTGTTGTATCAATATAAATAACTTATTGTGGTTAAGATTGCAGGTACTTATTATGTCACATCACCTCAAATGAGGAAATACTATCGAGTATCTTCATTTAAATAAAACTGACTACTGTACTTAAAATCTTCAAGTAAATACATTAATAATCACAATGTTTTGGACTAGTATAAGTCCTGGAATTCCTGGCAGTCAAAGGAAATTTATGAATATGTACACTGGAGCTATTGTGCAATCTGGCAGAAACTGGACATTGATCACAATACTTTTCTGTCATTCGGGAGTGCAAATAAAACTGGAGTCTTATGAAACATAATGTTCAAGGTACTCTCCCTTCAGTATGCGGTGAGCTGCAATAGCTCCCACAGTTGCTCCTATTTGGCTTAATGACGACACAGCTGACGTGCCATACCAGTCTGAAGCAATACCTGCTATAACAGGGGTTGTCAACCGTGACATTGCAGAAAAGCTATGGGAAGCACCAAGTAAAGACCCACGCTCCTGTGGTGAAGCTTTTTGGACAAGCAACTCTGTAAGCAAAGTGCGTAGCAAGGCAGCCCCTGAGGCCAAAGGCATTAATGCCAATAGTAGACCAAGAGTAGAATCAACAAAACTAACTCCCACCAGTCCTGCTGTCATTGCTATAAAGCAATGAACAATTTGCACAGCCGAAGCCTTTTGTGGAGGATATCTCCATTCATATATATGCTGAATTTGGCCAGAAAGAAAACTAGTTCCTGACCCAATAATTGACTGGAATGATATAATGTAACCAACAGACTTAGGTGTCATTCCATATTTCTCTTGCAACATTATTGAAAAATTGTTATAGTAAAATGACAATGTAAAGACAAGTATCAACTTAAGCACTAGAATTTTTTTGTGTTTGCTCCAGTCAATTCCTGTTAAGTGAGAAATCATTTGGTAAAATTCTTCTTGGATTCCCAGATGGCGCTCCCTCCTGTTCCTTGTATGGTGTGAGGCAGGTAAAATTTGGGCCACAGCTAAGGAAAATATGATTAAATCAGTGAGTAGAAAACAAAGATGAACTGTTGGAAATAGAGAGAATAATTACCTATATTAATCCAAAAGCAGACTAATATTATCATTGTGATAAATGAAAATCCATGTTCATGATCAGCAATGTGCCCGCCAATAACAGGTCCAACTATGAAACCCAAACCAGATATTGCCGCAAGTTTGCCATAGGCACCGGCCTGCTCATATGGTGGCACTTCATCTGCAATGATGGATTTGCAAAGGCTTTGTGTGTGTTTACAGCAACCTGAAAATTAAAATGCTTGTGATGAGATAATATGTATAATATGTAAGATTACAGTTTCATCCAAGTTGTGACAATTACCCAGCAATAAGCGGAGGAGGAGAATCAACACCAGTGAGCTTGTTTGTCCAAGCAGAAAATAGCATATAGAACATGCCGCCAAAGAGAGAGAGAGAATGGACACTCGTCCATGACGGTCACTCCAGCTTCCCTGAATCATGTTCAAATGTACAGTGCATGCAATGCTAAAAGAATGTCAAGGTTCATATTTTGTGTAGTTTCAAGACTCTTACCACAAGAGGGCTGGAAAATAATTGCGCCGCTCCATACAGTGATGTGCTCAAGCCAATAATCAAGTGTGATGCTCCAATTGATCTCAGATACGGTGACAGCAGAGGTATTGCCAAACCCACGGAAAATACATCCTTAAGGTCAGAAAGAAGATACCAAAGACGGGAAAAGAAAAGTAAAGTCAAGCTTGTTAGCAGAAGCAGTGTTGTGGTAAATATCCATCAGAGAATAACATAACCTGACGCATGTCAGTTTGTCTTATCAAGACAGTTCTTACCATCACTGACATGAAATAAACACATTTCAGATGGAATTCTGAAAATCCTGCCATGGTAAATATTTCTCTATAAACGTTATTTCCTAATCCCGATTAATCAGATTTGTTTTTTTTTATCTACAACGAGCACGGTGGACACCGCACCCAGACGACACCTGGCCTGGACAAAACCGGCAACGTCGCATTCGACACAGCTGCACTGCGGGTGCGGTGTTGCAAGTTGTGATTTAGCAAGAGAACAAGGGTGCACTGCACTTGTACTTTGTTTTTGAAACTGAAATTGGACTACAAACCTCGCATCTACTGTGTTTATAGAAAATTGAGGCAAGTTACAAGTTTCTCCACATCGTTTTTTAAGACTTTCGTTGAAAATCCCGCTCTACCTTATCTCATTTGGGCCTAAACGCTGTTAGTTTTGCGAGCCCTTTTTTGGTTTGTTTACTTCATGTCAAAAGTCAGTGTCGAAGATGATTTCATGTAATTCAGCTGTGCATTCGGACTATAACTGATGGTACGCATTGTCAGTGCGCCAAGTCAAACGAAAGAAATATTTAGAACTATTATTTCTTATTTGTCTCCTACGGCATAACCTCTATCTAGGGCGCAGGTGCCTTAAACCGGTTTACAGCTTTTCCGCGAAGGGAAATGGAACCAACTGGCATTGCCACTTGTTTAATTTTCCTATTTGCTTACAATGTTTTCTTGCCAGTAGATGGGGTACGACGTTGGAAGGTTTCAAGGCTCTGTTGATGAAGAGTTGATATGTCCAATCTGCTCTGGAGTACTAGAAATACCTGTGCAGGTATGTAAAAATATATAGTCCTTACTCTTTATTCATCCAACACTCAGCTCTACTAATACATTTGATATTCATTTTGTTTCATGTTTTTAGGCGCCAAAGTGTGAGCATGCATTCTGTAGGGCATGCATAATGGAATGGTTGTCCCGCCAGGCAACATGCCCTGTGGACAGAATTGCTATTTCTACCAGTGACTTACAACCTGTTCCAAGAATTTTGAAAAATTTATTAGCAAGGTAGAAAAAATCTCAGGCCTGATTGCTTCTTACCAACTGGTTTTGTATTTAATTATTATACTTGGAATCAATTCTGTTTTCAGACTTGTGATTTCCTGTGAATATGCAGCCAGTGGCTGCACTGCAATGGTGAAATTGGAAATATTAGACTCTCATGTCCAAGATTGTGAGCATAATCCAAGAAGACCTGTTTTGTGTGATCAGGGATGTGGTCTTGTCACTCCTAAAGATGATTTAAAAGTACGTCTAAATCAAGTTGTGTACCTAAGCTTTCTTAGCAACTACGTAGTGAATCAACAATTTTCTTTTTTTTTTCTGCAGGATCATAATTGTGTGCGTGAATTACGTTCACTAATACAAACACAACAGCAGCAATTGACTCAGTTGGAAGAAGAAGTTGTTGATCAAAGTGTTTCAATAAACGAAATCAAAAGGGAACTTAACTATTTGAAGGAATTTGTAAGAGCTATGCGATCATCCCACCCTGCCATGCGTGCAATTGCAGAACAGTTTGAAAAAGATGAAGTCAAGAGATGGGCTTCTACACTAACAAAAGCTAAAGTTTCTCGTTGGGGTGCCATGATATCCACCCCTGATGAGGTTCTTCAGGTAATTATTGGAGTTATGTTTTTCCCCCTTGTTTTGAGACTACAGTAGAGAACAACATTCTCCAAAACCCTTGTCCACTAATGGGGCAATTTATTTACAGGCCATGATTAAAAGATCACTTTCAGAGTCTGGTTGCCCTCTACACATAATGGAAGACCTCATGGCAAACTGTCATGAACGCCATTGGCCAACTGGACTTGCCTCTCTGCAGACTAGACAGAGGCAAAGAAGAGAATATGATAGCTATGTCTGTCGCAGAATTCCAGGAAAGCAGGCTGTTCTTGCATTAGCTTGTGACAATACACATATGTCTGAGGAAATGATGAGTGAGCCAGGACTTGTCATGATATTTGCTCTGGGCATAGAATAGATATGGGTATTATCTAAAGCATTCTTCTCAATTTTTGTCCAAAAAAGACTTATTTGGTTCCATGGAATTTGCCAATAATGTTATGCATGCGACTATCAGTTGCACCTATAACTTATAGCTAAGAACTTGTGACTTTAATTCACCTATGTACTGTCTAGTGTCTACTATTGCATGATATGACAAGTTTTTGATGTTTATTGATCTCCTATTACTATATTGTTATTGTAAGCAAAGGCCAAAAATTTGTAGAACAGTGAAATGATCATGTCTGTTAAGTTCTGTTTTTATTGGGTTTAATGGTCAATTGGAAAAATTGAACCTCATTATCACATGTCTTTAATCAAAATTGTTCCCTATTTTTACTCTAAATGTAACATTCTGGTTGGTTTTTGATTGGTCCAAACATTTTTTAAATTTTTAAATAGGAAATGCATCACAATAGAAAATTTGAGTTACATGTTAGAACTGTAAAAATAGGAAACACATGATCAGTGGCTGTTTATCTTATTTTGCTAAGATGTGTGTAGTTGTTTGGGGATTTTGAGACTAGAGGCCAATGGAAATGGTATGAGTGAGTTTTGACATTGTGATAGTAAAGTAGATCTAGTGAACATATTTTTAAGATAACTGTTACTTTTGACTGTGCCATTTTTATGCTGCACATGTTTTTCCTATATCTGCCCGGTGCCAGTGGCTAAATTGTTAAATCATGTTTAAACTGTCCAATCTTTTTTTTTTTTTTAAGAAATTAAATATTTTGACAATGTTTTAAATAAAAACCGCGTTAGAAACCATCATCTTCGTTGACTCCCCGAGACCCCCCTCCGCGTCGTCAAACGAGTCACGTCGCCGCATCGCAAAGATAATAGAATAATGAAGGAACGATCAGGCGGCCGCAACCGACTGGCTCCCTCCCTCCCTTGCCTGTGTTGCTGTGTGACCCGCTGTTGGAGCGAGACGGGCCCGCCAGCGGAGACGCAGCCAAGCCCGACCCCGTCCCCCCCTGCGTGGGGAATGCGAGGCGGGCCAAGGGGGTCCCCGGGCCCCCCGCCCAGCACGCCCCCTCGCACCGACTCGCCCGCGCTTTTGGCAGCCGCCCGGGAGCTGCACGCCGGGGTAGGGCGTGGGTAGAGCGAGAGCGCCTCGCGTCCTCCCCTGCCCCGCGGGCGCGTGCGACGGAGAAGGCGGCCCACCCCGCCCCGCACGCAGGCCCCCACCCCCCGGCAGGGGAGGCTCCGCTGAGGACCGGGGGGCCCCGCTGGGGCAGTCGCGAGCGGGCAGCACCGGGCACCAACAGCCTCACGCACCACCAGGCACCCAGCAGCCTCCTCTTCAGCTCCCCCAGGTAGGACTGGCGAGGGGGCGAGGCTCCAGGCAAGAAGGCTAGGCAGGGGGTGGGCCCGCCCGCAGGTGGGTGCACCCCGCCCCCTGACCGAGCATTGCGCTTAGTCCGGCACCCCTCACTTGAGTGTCAATGTTTCCTCAACTTCAACATCGCAGATCTGGATTGTACAAAAATTCATTTGTAATTTTAGTGTCATTCGACAGCTTGACTTTGGCACATATAAGCGCCTTTCCCCATTGTCAGTTTTAAGTCAATCTTCTCCCCTAGAGTGAACAACCTGTGCCTACATGTTAATTTCATCTCATTTTCATTTTTTGTTTTTGAAGGTTATTGATTTTGTTTAGACTGAGGACTTCCCTTTGACGTTTGTTACTTATTTCGACTGCATGCGCCCGGCTTCGTCAATAGCGTTTTCAAATTCTGAATTTATTTAACAATATTAGTACGAGTATCGTAGTGTGAGTTACTTTCGTCAATTATTCCCATTGACTGGACGTGTTGTGTTGTGAGGTTTGCCGGGTTCGCCCAGCCCTTGTGTGAGAGGGGGGAGTAGGGGCGGGGGTAACCTTTAGGCCGGCCCCGTTTGCGTTCTGTTCTGGTACGGAGTCATTGGCCTTGAGATGCAGTGCAGGAGTGTTCAAAAATACCCCTATGAATTGAAGAAACTTCATATTCACTTATTTTTGAAAAACATCATCGGCTTTCTTGTATTGGTTTACGTTGGTGTTTTCCGAGTGCGTTGACGCCCTGTGCCAGTGATGGTTGAATCAGGAGAGAAAAGTATAGTTGCTGACAGGAACTATACCTGACAATCCTTGGCCTACTTTAACAGTTGGCACTGAAAATGAGCTCCACTTAGAGCCACGGTTTCTTCGCGCGTCTGCCGGCCGGTCGTGGTACTTTCCCTTCTTCCTCCCTCCCCTCTACTCTCAGGTTTCAGGTTTCACTCCTGCTTCGCGCCTGGGTGCTTTGGTACTCAACTCGTCCGCCGACACAGCGAGCCTCTCTTGGCATACCTTCATATGGAAGGGTGTTTTTCGCTGCCGAATATTTTACGGTGCTTCCTGTCCGCCTCTGCAGCTTTGCCTCGCCATGCGATATGCGTTGCAGCTGCAGCCGGCTGGGATTGCGCTTGGCAGGTCCCAAGGGGGGCGCCCCCTCAGGAGGAAGGGTAGCAGGAATACACCTCACGTGTCCAATACCTTTTTATGTTTCCCATCAGAATAATAATAATATAGTCAAATTAAAATGTCCGCGTGGCCGCTGATTGGCGGGGCGACCGTGCACTTACTATGGCGTCCGAAACATGCTCGGCGGTCTGCCGGCGTCGCGCTCGAGCAAAGGGCAAGGCGCGCTCCGGACGCGGCCACACGCAGGACCGAAATACCTTTACAACCCCCTCCCCTCCCCCCTCCGCGCCGCCTCCGCCGTGCGCCGCGGCCGCCGCTGCAAGGTGGTGGTCGTGGTTAGGCAGCAGAGCCGCGAGCCTCGGGGCTCCCACAAGCATGACGAGGCCCAGAAGGCGCACGCTGGGCATGCGGGCCGGCGCCCTTCCTTGTGGCCAATCAGTGTATCAACACATGTCGGCTTCGGCACCGCTTCCTGTGAGCGCAACGCTACGCGCCTCCCTCCCTCCCTCTGTCCCAATCAGTGTATCAACACATGTCGGCTTCGGCACCGCTTCCTGTGAGCGCAACGCTACGCGCCTCCCTCCCTCCCTC